ACGGAAAGCCATAATCATTACTATTATTTAACGTTGTCTTGGGATTGTAACAAATGCATTGAGACAGGAATATGAAATAACTGATATAAATGTTGAAAGTGTCTAACTGTTGATACGGTTATATACCTAGAAAATCCAAGATAATCTTATAAAATATTACTAGAGTTAATAAAAGAACTGAATGTTCTGTCTTCTAGCAATAAGCACCTGAAAAAAAAAATGGGAAAAACGTTTCATTCACAATAAACTGAAAACTTTTCTAGAAATTAATTTAATAAGTAAGGACACTTAAATGAAACTATAACATCAAAGTATTTAAACCCAAATCTTAACAAATGGAAAAAAAAAACAGTCTTGGTTGAGAAGACAACATAATGTAAAAGTCCATTCTCCCAAAATTAAGATACAAACTTAATGCAATTACAGTTGGAAGGCCAGCAGCGTTGAGAAGGTGAGAATTGGATAAATTTGTATACAAAAGAATAAATGCCTGAGAATAGCTAAGAGAAAATTTTGAATAGGCAAAAATTTAATATAAATTAAAATTAAGGGAAAAGATTATGCAGTGAAAACTTTCCTCCTGTCCTTGTCCCACATCTGCCCAGGTTCATCTAACCCCCCACTATATGTATATCCTTCCAGAATTTAGATAGATAGGTAGGTAGATAGATCGGAAGACATAGAGAATCTTTTTTTCCCATATTTTCTACATAAAGGGTATCAAATTATACACTCTGAATCATGTTTTCTACTTACTAAATCTCCAAGATATTTGTAGTACAAAAAGAGCTTTTTGGTTCTTTATTATTTAGATGCTTCACTTTCCATTGTATAGATACACAATAATTTATTTAACTAGTTTCCTATTATGGAATGTTGAGGTTATTTCTAATGTTTTGTTACTATAAGCACTGTTACAATGTGTGTGTGTGTGTGTGTGTGTGTACCCACGTCTTTTCTCCTAAATATATCTGTAGAATAATTTCCCAAAATCACCATTGCCAGAAATATGCATTTGAAATATTGCCAAATTGCCTTACGTACGGGTTATGCCAAGGGGTTATGCTTTTACCAGAAATGAATAAGAATAGGTTTGCCCATAGCCTCACCAACATGGTCTGTTACAAACTTTTGGATTATTGCCATTTTAAAAGGTAAAAATGGTATCTCAGCATAATTTTCATTTGTACTTGTTTTTTCCTTCTTATTAGGAGTGAGATTGAGCCTCTTTTAAGAGTCATTTGTATTTCCTTTTCAAAAACTTTTCATATTCTTTGCTCATATTTCTAATGGGTTGAAGGATAAACAAATGAATCAATGGAACAAAACAGAGAGTCCTAACCATGTATTTATAGTTTCAAGTAGGACAAAAGTGATTCTTCTTGTCTAGAAAAGGCAAATTTATAGACATAGAGAACAGATCTGTGGTTGCCTAGGCTAGATGGTAAACAGATAGAAGAAAACTTTTTGGGGTGATGGAAATGTTCTAAAACTGGATTGTGATGGTTGCAAAACTCTATCGACTTACTCAAATCACTTAATGATGGATGAATTTCAGTGTGTAAATTATACTTCAATAAAACTGGTTTTTCTTTAATTTTTAAATTTTAATTCCAGTATAGTTAACATACAGTGTTATATGAGTTTCAGGTGTACAATGTAGTGATTTGACAATTTTATACATTACTCAGTGTTCATCATGATAATGCATTCTTTAATCCCCATCACCTATTTCAATCAGCCCCGTACCCACCTCCCCTCTGCTAACCATCAGTTTGTTCTCTATGGTTAAGAGTCTGTTTCTTGGTTAGTTTCTCTCTTTTTTTCCTTTGTTCGTTTGTTTTGTTTCTTAAATTCCACATATGAGTGAAATTGGATAGTATGTCTTTCTACGACTTATTTGGCTTAGCATTATACTCTCCAGTTCTATCCATGTTGTTGAAAATCAGTAAAGCTGTTTTTAAAAAGTGATTTTTTTTCAATCTAGTGGGGAAGGATTGGATATTAAATAAGGATGAGGGGAGCCTGGGTGGCTCAGTCGGTTAAGCGTCCGACTCTTGGTTTCAGCTCAGGTCATGATCTCAGGTTCCTGGGATCAAGCTCCAAGTTGGCTCTGTGCTCAGCACAGAGACTGCTAGAGATTATCTCCCTCTCTCTCTCCCTCTGCCCCTCCCCCTGCACTCTCTCTCTCTCTTTCAAATAAATAAAATCTTTATAAATACATAAATAAATAAATATGGGAGAATGAGTGACTCCAACCAGAAGAAAATAAAATGAGCCCCTCTCTTACCCCATACACAAAATAAATTCTAGGTGGATTGAAGATCTAAATGTAAAAATTAAAACAACAATAATATTGGAGCAACACATGTAAAATCTAGGGTGGGTGAGAGCTTTTCAATCAATATTGGAAATTCAGAAGTTATAAAGTACATATATACGTATTTGATGAGATAAAAATGAGAAGCTCTGGCTTGGAAAAGACACCCTAAACTAAGTCAATAGATAAACACTAGCCTGGGGAGCAACCCAGAGATCAAAGGGTGAACAGCTATAATATACAAAGAATTCTTACAAAACAAGTAAGTCAGGGATAAACACCCTTAAAACAGACAAGGATGTGAATAGGTAATTCACAGAAAAGCAATTCCAGGTGACCAACACATGTATGGAAAGACGCGCAAACTCAGGTGTTACAGGGAGATAGGAAGTAAAGTCACAACAAGACATCCAGTTTACACTGATCAGATGGAAAAATGGGGGACCAATAATCCCTATTGCTAAAAGGGATGTGGGGACTCTAGTACATTTCTAGTTGGAAATATGTATTAATGCATTTTTTTGGAAAGGAATATGGCAACGTCTTTCATGATTAAAAATACTTAACATGTCTGACCCAGAATTTGCACTCCCAGAAATCTATCCCTTAGGAGTGAAAGCTTTAAGACTTAAGGACATGTTTTCACAGAAATGGACTCCATTGTAAACAGTGATTAAACAAGCAAACAAAAAACTGGACACAAAGTAAATACTCTCCATGGGAGAATGGTTAAAGAAATTGTACTACTGCTACACCATAGAGTTCTATGTGGTCGTTAAGAATAAATTGGAGCTAACCTGAGTGAATTAAGAGGGATTCCATTAGGTGCTGGAGAGAAAAAGCTAGATGCAGAAAAAAATAAAAATAAAACAATGATAAACATATGTATTTATACAGATGTCCTTTGATGTTTATGGATGATTACATGAACAGGGAGGAAAAATAGTGTAAGGCTGACGTCTCCGTCTCCTCCAGCTGCTGTAACAGAATACCACAGACTGGGTAGCTTCATCAACAGACATGTATTTCCCACGGTTCTGGAGGCTGACGTCCCAGCTCAAGGTGTCAATAGATTTCATTCCCCTTAAAGGCCCTTTTCCTGGCTTGCCAATGGCCACCTTTATCCTCATGGGGCCAAGAGAGGAAATTCCAAGGTCTCTTCCTCTTCTTAGAAAGCCACTAATCCCACCATGGGGGTCCACCCTCAGGACCTCCCAGAGGCCCCACCTCCTCATCCTATCACATTTGGAGGTAGGACTTCAACAGGTGAACTTGGGGAAAACCGAATATCCGATCCCTAACAGATAAATAGTAAGTTGTCTACACAGATTGCCTGGGGCACCAAGGATGCTTTGAGGATGCTACAGAACAACTAAAAAGGAAAAGGGGGGAAAGAGAAGAAAATAAACAAGATTCAGCTATTAAAGTATTTATCTTTTAGTAGCCGATTTCTATATAGCCGATAGCTATTGCCTGGGAGATTTCTCTCTGTTTTCAAGTCGGAGACACGCTGGCTCAAAGAGGATTATTCCCTCACCCAGAGCCCCCCAGCAAGGCAATTATTGAGCCAGAAACACCACCCAAGCCTCCTGACTTTCCCGTGGCTTGCACGGGAGGTGAAGTCTATTCCCAGCTAAGTGCAAGCCACGGGCATGGAATAGAGGAGCGAGGGTATATACGGTAAAGGCTTGGCTTCATGCACCGGGGGTTTGGACGTGGCCCTGCCACTAGAGAGTTGCCCAGGGTCACCTGGCTGGGTGGAGGACGGGTGGCTGCTTCCCGGCGCTTCCGGAAGAAGCAGAAGTGAGAGCGGCTGCCCCCACGTGAACTAGCGCCCGGGTTGAGCTCGGTGTCTGCAGCCCGTTTGGGGCCAGCAGTGCCTTTGCGGGGATGAACAGGGAGTGGGAGTGGACGACCAGATGCAGCAGATGAGACAGGAAATCTGTTCCTCGGTGGCTCTTGGCAAGCCGCTGGGGGTCTGGCAGAACCGGGAGGGGTGGGGGGTGGCGAGGGGAGGGGCAGAATGTCTCTTTTTCATTTTTGATTTTGCAGGTCCTTCTGAACGAGAATCGTCACTGCCTGCGTGTCTTTGGGAAGCCGGCGGCTAAATTACAAACAAAGGGAAGAGGGGGCGCAGTTGAAGTAGGGAAAGTGGAATTTTCTGGAATTCAGTGGACTAAAATGATTTCAGATGGAAGTCAGTGAGTGGTCAGCCTTAATTTCTCATTCTGTCGACTTGTCTCTGAGGGCCCGGGGATCTAACGCTGAAAATATAAAAGCAAGCAGCAATTTTTTTTTTTTCTTTGCGTCATTAAAAAGTTTACAACTTGTGATTCCTGAGGGTAGATCGTGAGCATTTCCCCCGGTATCTGGGAGTCTATCTGGGACGTGACTTCCTCCAGAGCCGGTCCCCTGGGGGGAGTCCGCGCAACTCAGCCAAATTCAAGGGTTGCAACTGAGCCTGGTAGCAAGCTCGCTCCGCTAAAAGGGGCTCTGGCTGCGCCCCAGCGAGGAGGCACGACTGGGGCCGGGTTCTGCTGGAGCAGCTGCGGGGCGGGGTCAGCCCGGGCTTGCAGAGCCTTCTTCCTTTGACCACAGCCATCCGCTCTTTGCCTGCGCCCCACTTCGCCGGCACTCAGCAGGATAAACGGAGCTCTTAAATAAACGGGAAGCAAGCCGACACAGTCCAGAGGGCGAGATTTATTTTTATTTAGAAAGGTTGAAGAGGAAAAATTCAAATCCGATTTAAATATTTACTCAAAGAGGAGATCCACAGACGGCTGCAACATTCTAACCCAGACTCAGGACAAGAAGCTGAACACCGCTTTTCTGAAGTAAGCCACAGGGCCCGGAGAAAGCCCTCGGTTGAAAGAAAGACGCCTGAAGATTTCCGGAGATTCATGAAATGCACTCAAGGTTACAGACGGTGCGGCCCAGCTCCTCGTCCCCGCCGCCCGAACGCATTTGCTGGGACGGGGCACGTGACTGAGATGCTCTCAGCCTTCTCGTTCTCATCTGAGACAGAGGGAAGGGAGAAGGCATCTCATAGCACTCTTACGAGATTTAAAAAAACAAGCACTGAAAAGTGTTGGCACAGAGGAAGTGCTTAATAAAAGCAAGTTTGACTATGGAAGGACAGTAGGCCTCCTAACACTGCTGATTCCTGGATCCTCTTACATCAGGACTCAGTGCGTCTGAGCTAAGGCCCCGGAGTCTGTATTTCTAACATGCCCCCCAGGGTTTTCTACTGGATCACTAGGTTTGGGAACCAGGGTCCCAGGAGCGGAGCCACACAGAAGTGGCCCCAGCAAGATTCTCACCCAGGAGGGCCCCATTCACATTCGGTCCCTTGGCTTCAAAAGCCAACAAATGCCTAACACACATATGAAACTCAGGCTAGTACTCCTGCCCAGCCTCATCCTCCCCATCTCCCCAGGGCATCTTACACCCCCAGATGCTCAGGCTGCAAGCGTGATTTCTCTCTCCCCCCTCCCCAACCTTCACAGCCATCAGCGGTCCTGTCAACAGGACCCAACCCCCCCAAACCCAGCCCTTCCTCCTGACCTCTGCCCTTACCTGAGCCAGCTTCCCCCCAGCTCTGCTGTGGACCATTTTCCAGGAACAGCCCAAGAGACTTACAAAGACTAAGTCAGGCCCCAGGGCCCCTCCGTCTAAGCTCACCTGGCTCCTCCCTGCCTTCCCCGAGCTTCAGCCGCCGCCGCCGCCTCCCTCCCTCTCACACATGCTAAGCTTGGGCCTGACTCACCGCCTTGGCACCGCCTCGTTCCTCTGCCTGGAACATTTGCTCGCCCCATCTGCCTTCCAGCCTTCCCATAGCTCCTACTTTCTCCTCCAACAAGTCTCTGCCTCCATGGCAGCTCCTCAGGGAGGTGTGCCCTGGCTTCCAGAGCCAAGGGAGCCAGCTCTGTGACCTATGGCAGGTCCCTCAGCGTTTCTGGAGCTCAGTTTCCCCATCTCTAAAACGGAGATAATAGTAGTATTCACCTCCTAAGGCTTTCTAGGATGATGATATGAGTTTGAATGCACATTTTTTTTTAATTTTCAAAATTTAAATATTTTCCTGGTTTTATTAAGATATAACTGACACATAGCATTATATTAATTTAAGATGGACACCGCAGTGATTTATATATATATTGCAAAATGACGACCACAATAAGTTTGGTTAACATCCATCCACTCACGTAGCTACAGATTTTTCTCTTACGACAAGAATTTTTAAGATCTATTTAGCAACTTTCAAATACACAATACAGTCTTCTTAACTGTCGTCACCCTGCTGTACACTACATCCCTAGGTCTTACTTATCTGACAACTGGAAGTGTACACCTTTTGACCCCCTTCCCCTATTTCCTCCACCCCCAACCCCCTGCCTCTGAAAACCACGAATTTGTTCTCCGTATTTCTGAATTTTTTTTTTTTTTGATTCCACATATAAGTGAGGTCATACAGTGTCTGTCCTTCCCTGTCTGACTTCCTTCACTTAGCATCATGTCCTCAAGTTCCATCCACGTTGTCACGAACGGCAGGATTTCCTTCTTTTTTACGGCTGAATAATGTTTCCTGGCATGTAAAGCCCACATTTTCTTGAGCCGTTCATTCACTGATAGAAAACGTACATTGTTTAAAATGGTGCCAGGCCCTTAGTAAGTGCTCAGTAAATGTGAAGCATTAGCTTGTGTTCAGGTCAGAGTGTTACAATAATTTGCTTATGTGCTTACTTCTTCTGTGGACTGTGACATCCCGGGGGGACTTACTCATCCTTATATCCAGGCCAACTGGCAGGGCATCTGGCCTAAAGAAGACACCTAAACTGGGTTGAACAGTGTCCCCCCGCCCCCAAATTCATAGGCACACAGAACCTCAGGATGGTATCTTATCTGGAACTGGAGTCTTTGCAGATGCAACGAGCGAAGGCGAGATCATACTGGATAAGGACAGGCCCTAAATCCCATGACTGGTGTCCTTGTAAGGAGGCCATGTGAAGAGACAGACAGGACACAGAGGGAAGGAGGCTATGGGGTGACGGAGGCAGCGATGGTCCCGAGGGTTGTCCCCTAGAGCTTCCGGAGAAAGCGTTTCCCTGCAGACACCTCGACTTGGGACTTCCAGAACTGTGAGAGAATAAATTCCTGTTGTTCGAGCCACCCAGTTTGTACTTTGGTAGGACAGCCCTGGGAAATAACTCAACACCCAGTGAGCGGTGGGAGGGTGAGTGAGTGAATAATTCAGACACCTCCTTCCCCCACACTCTGACTCCCACGAGAAGGCAAAGTCTTCCCTGCTTTCCCCTGTCACATTGCAGGAGGTTCTTAGGGGCTTCTGCACACAATCCCTCCCTCCTTTGGGAGGCACAGCAGGGATGCAGAGTCCTTCCCCCTCCCGCCTTAGAAGTGGAGAGCCCGGTAACCGCCCTGCCTCAGTCAAGGTCAGCCCACCATAAACACGGCCGTCACCTCATCAAGACAATGGCCTCTGTCCAGGAAGGAGGAAGTCGTTCAGACCCCTCGGTTGGTTGGACAATCCCGAGGAGGGGCCCCGGCGTGGAGGTGCGGGGCTGACTCGGAGCTCCTGCAACCACTGCTCGGCCCGCTCTTGGGAACCCTCTCACTTCCTCTCTCACATCCTGGCTATTTTTATATATCAAGCTGCCTCATTTTCCCCAGGGGGTCATTTGGGAAAGATAAAAATGCCTCCGAGAAACCACAGACCAAAATACGTTTCTGATGAGACCCGCCCACCCTCCTGGTGCCACTCGCTTGGCCGGTTGGTTCACTCCCACCCACAGGGAACACCGGTCGTTTGTCCGGGCCCCTGTGGGTCACTCTCCGGGTCCTGGATTCCCAGCCTTTCCAGGTCCACCCCTCCAGTTTCTAGGACAGGTCATGAGTCAGAGACATCCTCGCCGCTGATCTTCCTGAGGGCTTGCTCTGCACCAGGCACCCTGAGCTTCACTTAATGTTGGTTACACCCCTAGAGGCAAGGACTACTATTGACCTACTTTGGTGGTGGGGAAACTGAGACACCAGGAGCTTGGATGACTCATCTAAGGTTACACAGGGAATAAAGGATCAATGACAAGCCGGAGTGGGACAATGGCAATCTGGCTCCAGAGCCCGGGCTCCCAGCTACTGCTGATGGCGCAGCTCAAGGACACGTCTCTGCGTGTGTCATTGAGGACCCCAAAACGATTCCTTACCTTGGTTGTTGTGTTTCTAAAAATAAGCTTGATTTTCTTAGCCACAATCCACTGGAAACCTTTACTGAAGCATTTGGGGTCAGTGGGACATGGATTCCATTCCTGGATCTGCCCTACTGGATGTGTAACCTTGAACAAGTTACTCAGCCTCTCTGGGCTCTGGTTCCTCCATCTGTAAAGTGATGGCATTTACAAGTTGTCTGGCACCCAGTAGGCATTCAGCAAGTTTAGTTCTGTCAGCCTCCCTCTGCCTAAGTAGATTGTCCATGAAATTCCACAGTTAAAGAGATAGAATGTACCCTTCTGCCTTAGCCCATCTGGGCCACCATAACAGAATACCATAGATCAGGTGGCTTATTAACAACAAATGTATTCCTCACAGTTCTGGGGGCTGGGGAGTCCAAGATCAAGGCGCCAGCAGATTCCATGTCTAGTGAGAGCCCACTTCCTCGTTCATGGATGCCTGTCTGCTCCCTGTGTCCTTACATGGTGGAAGGGAAAACTCTGGTCTCTGCAGGCCCTTAGAAGGGCACTAATCCCATGCTTGAGGGCTCCACCCTCGTGACCCAACCGCCTCCTCCACCAATACCGTCACATTGGAGGTTAGGATTTCAACACATGAATTTGGTGGGGGGGGGCGGGGGCACAAACATACCATCTGTAGGTAGCACTACCTAGGTCGCATCTAATTTAAGCCAGATCATTATTAAAGCAAGAAATTTGATGCTAGCAGGGACCTTCAGAAATCGAGAAGTTTGGTTACTGACTCTGAGCACTAACGAGGCAATTACAAAGATGTACGGTGAACAGTCCGAACATGGGCCTTGCTGAGCCCCGACGACCTTGACTTCTGAGAGGACATAGTGTACTGGAACGAATGCTGGACTTTGAGGCTAAAGATAAGATTTGGACTCCTGGATCGATCGGGAATGGGGACTAACACCTGCTCTGTCCAGCTGACCCGGTTATTCTGAGGCAAAAGCAGTATGGGGTAAATGAAAAGTAATTGAGGTTCTGTATTATAAGGAGTTCACAAGTACAAAGCAGGGTTGGATAAAGCTGTGTTTGCCATGAAATGAGTTTGTTGGCAGCAGAGATACCAATCTGAATGGTGCAGGTTAAAGGCTCCATTCTGGTGTGAGAGGTGAGTTGGGTATTCTTGATTTGCCCTCCCCACTCTGTGCCCTGGGAGATGCTTCTCTTGGGATGCATCACATCGCTGGTGCTCCCCGTCCTCCGGCTTGGGCCCGGGCATGAGAAGGGACGCAGTTCTTTTGCCCTCTGCTTCTTGTCTAGCAAGCTGTCCATGGGCAGGGCTGCAATTTTCTCCCTAAGACCACACTCTTGTTGGGTGACCTCTTTTCCTCCATTCCGGCTCTCACCATCTCCCACCAAGAAGGTTAACTGGGTTGAGAAGGCCTGTTTAGGGGAGTGGGGAAGCGGGCCAGGAAAGGGAAGGCGGCCAATATGGGGAGCGTCCATGGTGCGTATGGTGAACATTGGGCTCAGACCTCTGGAAAACAATGTTGTAGAACAAGCCTCAGGGCTGTCCCGCCTAAGGGGTGAGGAGGCTGGGGTCCCCCCTTCAGATATCGGGGTGCTAAGACTCCTGGCCACTTGCCTTTCCTCTTGGCTACCTCGCCTGCCCACACCTTGTCAACTCTGTCTTCACCTGACAACTCTCTTCTCTTCCCCCCTGGGTGAGCCATCTCTTTCCCGCCCTGACATCCAGACCTGCCATGCTTGTCCAGATTATTCCATCTGGATAACCAGACGTATATAGGACACAAGCTATCTGCACCAGGGGCTTCCTCTTCAAGCGCCTGCAGGTCCTCTCTGACTGAAGGTGCCCATGACTCCTCACTCAGGGCAGACCACAGTGTTGGGGTGCTGAATCCCCTGAGAGCCGCCCTTGAACAAAGACCGAGGGGAGCCCCAGTGGATAATACCTCACCCCTCAAGTAGAATGACTCCAAAACTCATTCTACAGCTTTCCAGAGGCATGAGCGGAGCCACTCACAGCGACATCTGCTTGTCCACGCTCCCTGTGGTGGCCGCCTTCCCTTCCCACTTCCTTACACCCCTGACAGTTCTTGGGGTCACCTCCCAATTTACCTGCTTGCACTTGAATCTTTGTCTCAGAATCTGCTTCTGTGGGAACTCAGCCTAAGATACCATATAATCATACCTTGATCTGGGACTTGACGGGGTGCCTCATAGGTCCAGGCCACTCAGAAGCCACCGCGGACTAACCTGAATCCCATAGGAGAGTTGATAAGACCCTTCAGCATCAGGCCGCGCTGCTTACTGTCCAGCCTCACCTCTCCCCGGGACGGTCGCCACCGCACCCTCCCACCTCACCTCCACGTACCAGTTATGCTCAGTGACTTGCAGTTCTTGGAATTTCAATCCTCAGGCCTCTGGCCAGGCCATGCTCTCTCTGTGCCAGCAACATCTTTCCCCGCCATTC